ATATATTACACATAATATATATGTATATGTAATGTAAATATATTATATATATATATTTTCTATATTACACATATATATATATTTTCTATATTACACACATATATATATAAATAATATCACATATATATATAAATTATCATTTATTACATAATTATATTATATTATACTATATTATTTTATATTATATTGTATTATATTGTATTATATTATATTATATTTTATTAATTTATATAATATTTTACTGTATTATATTTTATTATATTATATTATGTTATGTTATGTTATATATATATTATATTACATATATATATAATATATATATATATATTACATATATAAATATATTACATATATATATATTATATGTTAATATATTACACATATATAAATATATATTGATATATTACATATATATATATATATCCACGTATGACGCACATATATATATATACATAGATATTAATATATTACTCACACATACATATATATATTTTCATATGTACATATATATATTGATATATTACATATATATATATATGTTAATATATTATATATATATATATCTCAATATATGATAATATATATAGATATCAATATATTACACACACATGCATATATATTTTGATATATATATATTAATATATTACAAATACATATATATATTACACATATTATATATATAATGTAATATATTATATGCATCTCTCTCTATAATATATATATATATACATATCAATATGATATATAATCGTGTATATATAATCATCTATCTAATCACTATGGAAACTTTGAATGAATTGGTTCGATTCATGGCGCAGGCAGCGACATGGTGTTGGGCGCTGCTGATTTGGTGGCTTCGACGCTCTGGTAGATCTGCTGCTGGAAAGAAATACCGGTTCCTCGGCAAAATTGGAGACCTCGCCGAAATCTGGGTTTGCTTGTGTCAAAGAATTGGATGATGGGAAAATTTATAGGAAAACCCTATATTTGATGGTAAAAACCATGGTTTCCTGTAGATTTTCCTTAAACCAACTCAATGATTGTGAAGATCTTTGTAATTCTTCTACATGTCATTGCTAGAAATGTCTCGCAGGACCGATAGACAGAACGTGGAAGATTTCAACAGTCGAATCTTGTCTGGCAAATTCACCAGTGACAGTGTATGAACTCACTCAGAGTGTGAGAAAAACTCCTTTTATATAACTTATCAGCCGTCTTCACCAATTCTACTTGTATGCAAGTGGCACATATCTAGAAAATACGTACATGAAGAATTGAATGTCCTTCGGCAAATCTGAAAGATCCTCGAACAAACACATATGTAGATGCCCATATGCCATAGACTATGCGCATGCATGATAGTGCTGGGATTCTGAACATTAAACCCAGAGACAGCCCCTGCAGATGCTTGGTGGAAACTCTGCTCCAGGTTACAGTTTGCTCAGCTACGCCATGATGGCCAGTGATGACAAGAAGTTCACATCTTTCCAGCGGGCTATCCAGAAGTCATTGGAGCGCTGCAAGAGCAAGGGTCTCTTGGACTGTGATGATCTTCAACTCTTGGAGAGTTACCCTCTTTCTCAAGCAACAGAGCGCCCTGGAGAATGTGAATGAGCACTAAATAGTTTGTTTTGAACTTTTGAATCACTATGAATCACTCATGGGTATTGCAGTTTGCCAGAAGTTCTGCAGAAGGAGGATCTAGTTGAAGACTCTTGCCACAGATCCTACTGTATCACATCCGGAACTTAGCACACAAATTAGGAGAGGATAGCATTGTGCTGGAGATTGGATGCGGTGCATATGCTCCCTTCGCAAGATGGTGTGCTGAAGCAGGGGCCAAGCAGGCCACACTTCAGGAAAGTTTCAAGAGGGACTGGTTGGTGGTGACTGGAACCATGGAATTTTACGTTTTTCCATATATTGGGAATAATCATCCCAACTGACGAAGTCCATGATTTTTCAGAGGGGTAGGTATACCACCAACCAGGAGAACATGAGAGCTAGATTACAACAGCACCTGGAGGTTTTCGCCATCGAGGGCAACAGCTGGGCAGCTGCACGTGCTGCATCTTTGACTCCGGACACAGTGCAGGCTGGCCCTCGTGGTGGTGTGGAGTTTGAATACCCTCTGGTGAACTAACATAGCAATGGAAAATGGCCATTTATAGTGGATTTTCCCATGAAAAATGGTGATTTTCCATTGCTATGTTAGTTCACCAGAGGGTATGTTTGAATAGGACGTGGGAAGCTGTTCTTCCGGAGCGTGTTCCTCAGTGCCAGGTCTTTGCAGGTCTTTCACAACAGTTGCAACCGGAGGAACTCCCTCAAGAACCCAACGTGCCTTCGCTCACCAAGAAGATCCTGGTATGTGTGGATTACGCATGGTTGGTTTGGAATTGCTTTTGAGTAGACCACCAAGGGCCGTAAATATGCACTCATGACCTGCACACATTCCTTTACTCATGTTGGATCGTTTTTGTCCATCTTGCTACGACTGAGCTTGATTTTGCCAGATGTTTCCGCCAAGTTTCCTTTGCATTAGAACTCGTACTGGTGCTCCACATTTCAAACAACCCACAGTAGCTACTCAGCCCAGAATCTCACTGTCCCGCAGCGGGAGAATCCCGCAAAATCAGGTGCTATTCAGATTGATATTCACCGAATTCTTGACGCCACCCAATTTGGAATGTTACGCAGAAAAGCATGACTTGAATATTTCACGAAAGCTAGCGGTAGCTAGCTGGAGTTTGCTCTTGCTTCAGCAAGGGAGGGGCAGCTCTGAGTCCAACACAGTGATTGTATATATATATATATATGTATATACGTGTATATGTATATATATATACACGTATATATATATATATATATACGTATATATATACATATATATATATATGCATGAACCTTAGCTTTCGTGTACCCTCCTGGGCCTTAAGTTGAATCACTTTCACCCCGAGAAACTCTTCAACACTTAGAGCAAGTGTCAGTTTGTCATGTCTAATTCTGAGGCTTATCTTAAAGAATCTCATGCTAATTTCGAGGCTTATCTCAAAAAACATTTTTATGTGACCCAATGCCATCACAGAAGCTTTGCAGAAAGTGATGACGCACTTAGAGCCAGAGGTGGTCGTCATGGAAACCATCGGAGATTGGGCTGCCAATGAATTCATGGCCGCTTGGCATCGAAATTCGGCGATCCTCAGATGTCAAGCAGCCCTGTGTCGCATGAGGTCAGCACTTTCCTTGATGCATCTGGCAGACTGTGCTCTCGGAGCGCAAGATGGATACCTGGAAGGGTGCCGTGTCAAGAGTAAGTTTACCGAGTAATTTTGATCACCCTTGATGCAAGTATGGTATAGCAGTATGCGACTGTGTGAATTGTTCACCCCATGTTGGTTACATCAACGTGACATATTCATGTGCAACATCAATCTTTGGCAGGGTATTTGGTACTGTAGAGTCTATGGTAGGATCTTTGCTGCATTTGCATGAGTTTGCAGCACTACCATTGCATTACCAAGGTGCGAACATGCTATATGCCAGTGCAGATTCCTCCCTGGGAATGCAAGATACCTCCTGGGCTTTGGTTGCTGGGAAGTGATGCAAAGTGCAGCAGGCAAGCGCGGCAAGCTTCCCATAGCTGAGCTGAAGCAGACTTAGATCACTCTTAGATCTTTGAAGCAGAGGCAGAGACAGCCTTGTTTTGGCGAAGGCTGGCCTTGTCAGAAGCTGCCACTCTGGAATCGTACGACTTCAACAGCTGGAAGGAGATTCGGAGCTGGTGCCGGAATGTTGCATGCTGTGCATGCTGGAACCTGTGTACTACTGGTAAGACATTCATGTTTCAGTAAGATTTTGCTGACACTAGTCAATTCAGTAGACATTTTTTTTTCCTCAGGAGGCTATGCTTTCCCAAGAAAGGCAAGCACAGTTCAAGATCACTTCTTCTGGCTCTTTGCAGGGCTTTCTGATCTGGGTTGAGGCCAGCTTGTTTCCGCGCAGAGTTTATTCGCAAGCACATGCAAGCACCAAACCTCCAGTGTTTTGAGAATTTAGTATATTTTGTAACATTTTGTAACCATTGTTTGGCTTGATTTGCCCGCAGATTCTGAGGAATTAGATGGAAATAGTTGATCCTCCGCCTGTCAGGTTTTTCCATCTGGAGATGAAAGCGACTGCCTGTCCCTGGCCGAAAAAGATGTCTGGTTTCCGCAGGGACATTTTGGGATATTTCACGACATGTATGTGATGTGGGTTTGGAATTTGGATGAATTTGGGCGCGGTGCTCCTAAGACTTAGTCCTAAGATGTACGAAGGATACCCTCTGGTAATTTAACATAGCTATTGAAAATGGTCATTTATAGTGGATTTTCCCATTAAAAATGGTGGATCTTTCCATAGTTATGTTAGTTTACCAGAGGGTACACAAAACGATGGATATTTCAAAACGATCCAGTGTTAGCCGGCGGCTCAGCTGTCGGCCAGGAATTCCCTGATTGACATCGACATCAGTTGGAGCGCAATGCTCTTGGCACTCCCGAAAGCTGTAGACGTCGTTGCTGGCAAAGTCCTGACTTGCAGAAGCCATGCTATTTAGCTGCAAGTGACAGTGAGGATAGTGAGGTGAGGCCTCTGGGACCATTGAGACATATTGAGACCATGAGAATGTTGACTTTGCTGTCGAAAAAACACCTTTACTAAATGACGACCGTCAAACTGTGACCGCAACTTTGGTGATGTGGAAGTGGACATGGTGTGCTGGGCTTCAAGTTCCTTTGCCACTAAGGTTCGGCCTGACACTGCAGACGGGCCATTGCTTCACCTAGAGATGCCCTGGGGAGAGAGTGGAAACCAGTTGCTGGGCCAAATTTGAGTGAAGTCTCAACTCTAGCAACTCCAGTGCAGCTGTAGGGCCACTGTAGGGATTGAAGTTGAAATACTCTACTAATACATACCAAAACGAACGACTGTTCTAGTGGTCCATTTCTGCATTCTGTAGCAGTCTGCTTGCTTGCACATGTTGGACATCACAGCATCTTGTCTTTGGTGAAAATCAACCCTTCTATTTGCGAGACAACCGGGTTTCGGCTTCCCCAAGCTGTTACTCCAACGTGCCAAGGACGCTTCAATTCGATTGGAATCTAAAAACGGGAGCAAAGTGGCAACTTTGTCGGAATATGTTTGAACATTTGCAGTACTCTGTGACTCTGTTCTGTTTAGTTTTGGGACAAGGTATCCTGTGACTCCCAACAGTGGCATTTCTCAAACAGTTAAACAGATGGAATAATTGTATCATGCTGTCTCACCAGCTGCTGAGGATATTGCCTGAAGGACAGGAAATATCGTTTGCGGACCAACCTGAGGATATCCTGAGCCCAGAACAAGAATTTCTGTGGGAGTTGCTCGGGCCTCCATGAGAAAAAAAAAGTGCGAAAAGGATTGCAGCAACCATGCTGGAAGAACCTTACAGTAAGCATTTTCCTGTATTGTGATCGCTGATGTCAGATGAAATTCAATGCTTCTAGAGTCTCTCATTGCTTTCCCTTGGTCATCTCCAACCAACTCTTGCTTGGTTGGCCATTCAGAGGTTTCCTAAAATGTTTTTTTTTTCCCAACAAATCATCCATTCTAGTGGGATAAACCATCAATTTTGGGGTACCGGCAGAGCCGTTAGGTCCTGAACCGACCAACGATATTTGCAATAACATACAATAACAAGAATGACAAATAATAACAGTAATAATCATAGAAATCATAGTATACAATAATAGTATATTATAATAGTATACAATCATAGTAAATCATAATAGTATACAATAATAGTATACAATAATAGTATATAATAATAGTAGTATATAATAATAGTATATAATGATAGTATATTACAACAGTATATGATAACAGTATATAATAATAGTATAAAACAATAGTATATATTAATCGTATATAATAATAGAATATAATAATAATATATTATAATAGTATATAATAACAGTAATAATAATAGTATATAATAACAGTAATAATAATAGTATATTATAATATTATACAATAATAGTATATAATCATAGTATATAATAATAGTATATAATAATAGTATATAGTAATAGTATATAATAACAGTAAATAATAATAGTATATAATAATAGTATATTGTCCTAGTATATAATAATAATAGTATATAAAAATATTATATAATAATAGTATATAATAATAATATATAATAATAGTATATAATAGTAGTATTTAACAACAGTAATAATATTGATAATAGTAGTAATAGTAATAATAGTAATAATAGTAATAATAGTAATAATAGTAATAATGGCAATAATAGCAATCATAGTAATACTAGTAATAATAGTAATAATAGTAATAATAGTAATAATAGTAATAATAGTAGTAATAGTAATAATACGATCAACTCCCACCATTTGCCTCGCGTCTGGAAGAGTTTGACGGATCATCATCATCATCATCATCATCATCATCATCCATATTACCAATTTAGTACGAACAGTAATAAGAAGTGTTTTGCTGTTTTGTTTTTTTGGTTGTGTTTGCACCGTCCAAGTTGAAACGGCCTTGCTCATGGTCCAACGGCAATGGCAGGCCCGGTTCCAAAGGTTCCAAGCGCAGCGGTGCGCCAGCCATGCTGACTCCGGGAGAGAAGGGAGATACAACATACTGTAACATACTACACTTTTCAGGAACCAAGGCCATCCCTCAGATTGTTTGAAAACCTCAAACCTCAAAAATTGGAAACCAATGATTTGACTGAAGTGTATGTTCTTGTGGTGTGCCATGATTAGTATAGCACGTACAGTCCGAGAAGTGCCTTTCAATTCATGAGTATCAAGATGCAAATAACAAACGGTGCCACCGAGCAAATAACAAACAATTGCACCTATTTGAGTGTCAAGGATGGGGGGTTGAAGAGAGTCTGTTTTCCACCGTGATGTTGGACCCATTTTGACAGTGGACTATGCTGCCAGGACTCAGCAAACAGTCCTCGTCCCGACCCGGCACAAGAGAATCTACCAGAAGCGTCCGAAAGAAATAAAGAGAGGCACTGTAGAGCACTGTAGAGCAGGGCACCAAAGCACCAAAGCACCAAAGCACCAATTTTGCGGAGTTTTTTTTTCTCCTTTTTCGATGTTCAGAGAATCTGCTTAAATCTGTAAAGAGTTGTTTGAGAAAGGCGTGTCAAGCCATTTAAACAGCGGTAAGAGCTTCGTTTGGTTCAATGTCAACTTGTTGACTTGGGAAATCCGCTGCCCATACTGATGTCTTTGAGTTGTGACCTTGGGCCCAGCACGTTTGCTGAATAGCATAGCCTCAAACAAATAAAAGCAGTCACATGGAGAAACAAGGGTTGTGGCGAGTTTTGCAACCGATGCTGAACTGATTTCAGATGCATCTCTGATCACCTTTGTATGTTTCAGACTTTTCAAAGTTTCCATAGGTTCTGAGAAACCAACTTGTTGATCCGAAACTTGCTCACTTCAGAAACCTTCAGCTTTTCGGAGCCGACCTTTGCCATTCTCATCCAACAGAAGAAGATCGGCAGTTTTGGTGCCTTGATGCCAGCATTTCGTTGCAGTTTGTACAAAGTTTGTGGTGAGGGATGCTGAAGAACAGCGCTCTCGTAGAAAAACTGGGTCGTGGCTGCACATGTGGTTGGTGAACGTGTCATGATTTGTTTGTTGCTTGGCAGCAGCACATCATGATGGCTGCCAGTTGCTCATGAAAGCCTTTGGCAACTAGTTGACTATTGGTGAATTTAGTTCAGGAAACGACATGATCAACAGTACGAATGCAGAGTGTTCGTGTGGGATGCTGATGGTAGGATAATCACACTGTCCAAGTCTATGTGGGCAGGCGCATGAGCTTGCAAGGGCCACCTTCTATGCACAGCTTTCAGCTTCAAGGCTCGAGCAACTTGTTTGCTAGTTTTGAAGGAAGAGAACAGCGACATCCGGAAGCATTGAGCACTTTGATGCCGATGCTGTTCAGCTTTGAATCTTCAACAAATGGATCATCAGATGCAGGTCTTGCGATTTGTGACAGTTTCCCTAGCAGCCTTTGGCTCAAAGCGTAGAACATTAGTAGAACATAGAATATTGCCGCAAAAGGATTGAACGGAACAAAGCCAATCCCTCTTCACACTTACTGCGCCAGATTTCGCCGAATGAAGACCAGCAGACCATGTTCATTTAATTGTTGTTTTCTTGCTTTCGAATGGAATCTTGATGTTTTCAGAGTTCTTTGGGCTCTAGAGCGGCAGAATGTTGACGACTCCATTTACTTGCAAGACGTGTCATTGCAGTAAAGATGAACGCGGGATTAGGAAACTCCCCTATGGACTTTGGCGCTCGACTCAGTCAGAACAGGGTGCACATTGTATATACTCAGTCTGGATGTGCAGGCGCTAATTTGTGAAAGAGAAGGGCATGATAAATATCATGAAATGAACTGACATGTGATTTTGCTTCCTGGAATTGGGGATGTTGATGGTTCAAGATGGTTCCAATATGTTCCAGTAGCAGATTTTTTTCCTTTGTAAGGGATCTTTGTTGGCTCAGCGATGGGCATCTGACATGCGAACCACCTGCAGCTCCTCAGGTGATGGCTTTTTACCGGATGGCCGAATCTATGTCTCCTATGAGGGCGTGGAATTTGTCCCCTGGAAGGCTCCAAATTTCCACCGTTTTTTATGTGATGTCTCTTCAGTTTCTGAAGATCTTGGTTTCTTGAGGATAGGCACCTGAGAGCAGATTCCACGGCAGGAGTGGCCGGCCGCTGGGTCAGAAGCAGCAAAGCTCCTAGCCATCTCGCCTTACAGGCGGATACAGTCTGCCGGACGTGTTGCCAGCAGTGGCCACTGTGGGTAGCATGTGTGATACTTAAATTAAAGAATGAGAAACAACCAGGACAGCAACAATATCAAGACATATCAAGACTATGTCCAATACAAAAAGCTTCATTGGATATCAGTTTAGTATCCTTGAGAAAACTCTGATGATAAAATGACGTAAAATGTTTATGGCAGTCGATGTAAAGGTCCTTGTAAGGATTTTTAATTGCGAAAGCCGTGCGTGTTATGTTGGAAACCCTCGCGAAAGTTTTTTTCCTTTATTCGCGAAAGTTTCGCGACATATTTTTTTTATTCGTGAAGAATGGCTGTTCCCGGATAAAGGAATTTTGATCAACCATCATATACTTTATATATATATACATATATATATGCATGTATATATATATATTTAATATATGTAAATACATAGATATAAATAAATAAATATAAATATAAATATAAAAATAAATATAAATATACATATAAATAAATAAAATAAATGAATAAATAAATAAATAAATGTGGGTCTTGTAATTTGATTTCACTTCTCTGGCAAGCCCTCCAGGTATGATCTGTCCGAGGCCAGAACAGGGGGGAGCAACTTGCAGAACATGTTTGAGAGGAACATGCAGACGCCCAGAAGCCAACATATGAAATACACGGACCTGGGATACACTCAGCTACTGTGACAGGATGAGGATGAGAGCTGGGAATCTGACGAGGAGGTCAGATGCCAATGAACATTCCTGCCAAAGTCGACAATGTTGTTGTTGTTGATGATGATGATGATGAGTATGATTGATTATGTTGCCATCGACCATGACAATGACGATGATGATGAGGATGGTGGTGATAATGTGGCGCTGTGTTTTGTTTTTTTTTTGTGTGTGTCACACGAACATAGTTGCACTCACAAAATGGCGTTGCTTACTTGCAGCATTTGTATCACACAATCAGAGTCGAGAGATGTCGAGAGACGAGTTGAAGTACGTCCTCTGTTGGCATTTTGACTGAGGACATTCCAGGCGCCTTAGCTGCCACGACTGCAGCAGCTGCGGAGGCCAAATCAAGTGTTTTGATTAAGGATACTAAGGATACAATAATATTCAATATGAGGTGATTTGGATCTCATCATCTCATCATCTCATCATAGTGTGCACGGATCGTTCACTGACTGGCTGGTACTCCTGGAGGAAGTCCCGCAGAGAGTGATTGCCATTCTATCAGAGGCGCTCGTGGAATGGCAAGCTACATCATCGCAAAATGAAAACCTCAAACCATCTCAAACCCAGTGGCTCGTCAACATAAAATTATGATAAATTATGTGAATGAACAATTACAGAAGATCTGATTTATATGTTTTGATATCGATTTATGATCAAAAAAAACTGTGAAACAATGCGAAACGTTGACAGTCATGAGGACCTCCCCGTCCCCGTCCAGTTGGCATCCCCGAATGCCGGCCACATTGGCCACCGTATTTCTTCGCAACGTCGTGGCCGATTCAGGTGGCCGATGACAAGATGACGCTGGACTCTGAGCTGGTGGCAACGATCTCAG